GGAGGGAGATCAAGCGTAGGATGTATTAGGTGAATCAAAGTTACCCCACCCTCTCCACCGCTTTCCCATCTCATGTTTGATGATGATTTTTTTTTGTTTTGAACAACCAAGAACTTCATTAACTTAAAATAATTCGGTTACAATAGCATAGAATGCCTTTTTTTTGCTAGAATTAAACAGCAACTAAAAAGATAGGTTCATGGCCTAGACCATGTAGTTTGGAAACCTTCGAGCAGAAAACGATGGCTCGAACCAAATGTAAGGATTCAGATTTTACGGAGTTTGTCCTTATGCATTCTTCTATTGTTGGTGACAAAGACACACTAGCTTCAAATCGAGCCACCAAAGATTCTAACCTCTTGGTTTTATACTCAATCCTTAATTGCCAAATGTTTGCACTATTTACATATAATAATGTCATTAAATCGATATCTAATGACCTTAAACAACACCATCTTAAACTGGACATGGATTTAATATTCACTAGAGAAACACCATGGGCTAAGCCCTCTAAAGCAGTTTCAAAAACCAAGCCCAATAAGCATTCCAAAGAGAAGAAACTTACAGTTTGAAATCGGAAGACCGGAGGAGCCTTTCCGGTGGGACTGGCTAGATGTTGAGCCACCGCCGGAGACATGATGCATGGCGGGTTTATGCTTGGTCGTGACATACTAGTTGTCATGGTTTTGGTCTCTGCCACACAAGTTGGGCCAATCCAATGAAGCAGATTCTGGTAGAACTAGAGGCAGAGACAAGGATACGGAGATGAACAGAGGTTGGTGAGAGGAAGACTTGTGCGGGCACAATAAAGCTGAGGCAGCAACACAAATTTCGACGGAAGCCGAGAGAGCGGAAGACCTTGGCCACCACGGCAATGGGTGCGGCGGGGAAGCAGACAGTGGCTGGGACGAAGAAGCTAAGGACGGTGATTTATGATGAGGAGCTGGATCCGGTAGCTTTGGCGGAGGAGGAAGGTTCAGCAGACGTCCGGATGTCATTAGCGGAAAGTGAGAGAAGGAGCAGATTCGACACACCGGATCTATAGGTGCGAACAGGACAGCAATCTCCAATTCGGATTTAAACCACAGGTCACTGGAATCCATGGAGAGATCTGAGAGGTTTTCTCCTTCGAAAGGACGTAAGCGACGGAGGTTGAAGAGTTTCGAATGATTCTCGTAGGTGAACAGCGACAGAGGAGTAAAACGAAGACTCCCGGAAGATGTATCAGGAGAGTCAGGCAGGAAGGCGAGCGAAGGCGATGCGGCGATGAGAGGCCATCAGATCTGCGGTGGAGCTTCGGAGAGACGACTGTCTCGGATGTCGTGTCTGGGAGAGAGCAAAACCCTAGTTTTTTACTATAAGGTCGCCACCCTTACTAAGTTCCA